CAACACGTGAACGACGCCATCTCATCCTGCCCTGGCGTACTTGTCGCAGACGGTAAGTCGGGCTACGACGCGATCGAGAAGAGTGAGTCAGCTGGTCTCGGACTACGTGACAAGCGGACGAGCATCGAGTGCTTGGGCATTCGACAGCAGTAGGAGCAGACGGCCCTCCAGATACGCTGGGTACACAGCGACGCCATGTTAGCCGACGGATTGACCAAGGCTCGTGCCGCCAAGGTCTTGCTGGAGTTCTTCAGATCAGGCCAACGCTGGAGACTCGTGGACGACCCACTTCACCACAGTGCCCGGAAGCGCAAAACCGAGGGCCTGGACAAGCTCAACCATGGCAAGCCGATCTCAGACGATGACGAGGATGCTATGCTGGAGGCCCTGATCTACTACGCCCGCGACAACCCCGACGAGCAGGAGAGCCCTGCTGGAGATGCTGCCCTGTGGGGCATGATTAAGCCGCTCACGCGCTCTGTGCTTTCTGTGAATTCAGTTGCCAGAGGCAGGTCTCGATGCCGTAACATCGATCTTTAGCTTTTGGGCATGCAATTCACAGCCCAGGGCCTGCCTCTTCAGAGCCTACTTACGACAAATGGCCCCTAGAGGTCTAGCGTGATATATATATATATATATATATATATACATATGCTTCAGGCTCCAAAGGAGCCTCGTGTATGTTAGCCAAGCGTTTCCCGGCGACTCGGGCCTCCCAAGACTCCAGGTTTCAACAAGCCTTGCTTAGTAGGCCCTCCGTTTCCCTAGCAATAAGTTGCAACATATATTATAAACAGAACAGGTTCAACCGAAACCGTTCTGGCTCAAGACCTTGCAGCGTCACAGCGACGCTGGATTTCTGGTGTGCGTCCAAGAGACGCAGAGCAGCGAATTGCCCGCTAACAAATAGATCCGGCTCCCTACCATAGTGTGATCAGCATCGCACAGACACTGCCCTATCATAGACGACCAATTTGAGACGAGCCCAACATCCCCTACAATGATTTCAACGTATTGCCAGAAGAGAGAAGAGAGTAGCATCTATCAGGATTGCTATCAAGGCAATGGTCATAAGCGGGACCATTGCACCCGTTAGGGTCTACCCGTCCGATCTGCCCGTCTTGTTCTGCCACGCGTTTCTGCTCCTCGGCCTCCCTCCTGTTCCTCCCTGTCGGCTTCCATCCTCTTCCCTCCCCCTCGCCCTTTCCTGGCATCCGTCCTCCGTTCCCCTGCCTAGGGGTTGCGCGATATACATGTTGCAAGAAGGCAGATCTGCCCCTAATGTGGGTGCGATCGAATACAGAATGCGGGTATCGATGGTCTGGGATATTCGTGTTGAGTGGCACGCGGGCAAATCAGAGCGAACAGTCTTCAACTGCTTGTGATTGTTAGTGAAATCTCACGGTTGAGAAATATGTTTGGTTCCCCCCTCCAGGGCACCTTGTGCTTTTGAATTAACATTATTCTCACGGGGCTCGCACCCTGTTTTACACATGAAACAATTGAGTCTCAGAATTGTGTGGTCGGCCTCTGGTTCACAACAACAGCGGTTCCCGCCTGATACTCCCCCACAATGGATTCCTAAATCGCGCTCTCGCGCGGGACGTCCTCACAATGTATTCAGAAATCGCGCTCTCGCATGGGAGACCCTCGCGATCTACTCAGACGCCGCGCCCTCGACACTCAGGAATCACGCTCTCGATGTGGATTTCCTCACAAGATGTATTTTGGAATCGCGAGGTCGGTCGAGACCGTCCCGCGTGTCATGCAGGACACACGTTTCAGCAACCCGCTTGCTCGACCTGGCCGCCTGGGCCCACCTGGTGAACGTTTTCTTATACGGCGTTTCGACATTGGGCGGAAAGGGGCGGGGAGGAGGGGGCGTCTGGCTCCCGACCTTTCGTCACGCGACTGTTTGCAGCAGTGCGCCCTATGGGAGATCCCCACCTGCTTGAAAGAAGGCGCCAAAAACAACCAAGATCCATTCCACGGGGGAGGGAGGGGCGAAGGCTCGCGCCGATCGGCAAAACAACGCGTAAAAAAACGACCGCCTTCCCGACAGGCCTGTAGCCGCCAAGGCTGCCTCTTCCACGCGCTACCTGTTTCTAGCCCCCCTTCCTGCGACTCTCTCGTGTTCCATCCTCCTCCCTCCCTATTGTCCTTTCCTTATATCCGTCCTCTTGTTCCGTGCTTTAGGTGCTGCGCGACATATCCGTTGCATGTGAGACAGATACATCCCGAAGGGGGTACGATCCAAGGCGAAGAGGGCGGGCATCGAGGGTTTAGGGTAGAAGTGTTGAGTGCCACGATACGAGCGAACAGTCTTAAGCTGATTGTCGTTGTGGTTGACCTCTCATTACTGAAAACACAAACTAGTGTTGGTCCCCCCTTCGGTAACATATGTGTTTTTCAATTGAAGTGCCCCGGGGCTCGCAACCTGTATAAGAATCAGAAAATTCCTGCTTAAACTGCGCCCCGCAATTTACGCAGGCGCCGCGCCCTCGGCACTCAGGAATCAAGCTCTCGCTCTGAATTTCCGCACGAGATGTATTTTGGAATCGCGCTGTCGCCCAAGGCGTCCTCGCGATTCATGCAGGACGCAAGCTTCAGCAACCCGCCTGCTCGACCTGGCCGCCTGGGCCCCCCCGTTAGGGTCAACCCGCCCGATCTGCCCGTCTGGTTCTGCCACGTGTTTTCTGCTCCTAGCCCCCCTCTTGCTACTACTCTCTTTCGTGTTCTATCCTCCTCTTTTCCAGTTGTCCCTTCCTTCCATTCATCTTCTCTCCCCCTGCCTCAGGTGCTGCACGAAATACACGCAGCAGGTAAGAGGGATACATCCCCAAGGGGATACGATCGAAGACGAAGAGGGTGAGTATCGAGGTTTTGGGATATACGTGTTAGATGGCATGCGAGCAGGTAAGAGTGAACAGTTTTAACATGATTGTGGCTGTTGTTGTTGGTGTTGTTGATGTTATGCTTGTTGTTGTTGCGCTTGTTGTTGCCGCTGATGTAGAAGAAGAGAACAAGAAGGAATATGATGATACTAAAAAGGGGCGGCCCGCAACACCGAGGCGACAGCGACCATCCTGAGTGAAACACCGAAGATGTATCGAGGGGGGCACTGCTTCTGTTGGAAGGCTTTCAGCGGAGAGGGATGTCACCAACCCTGAATGAAAACTCCACCATACCGTTGTTGTCGTCGGGGGGCTGGCTTGCGGCGCCAGGGCAGCAGTGCCGCTCCCGAGCAACAACAACAAGAACGAAACGACTTCGCCCCCAGGCTCCAGCACCCCGCACGGTATCGGGCCAGTGTCGATGCGCGTGTCCAGCAGGTTGGCGTCCTCGTGTTCTGTTGTTCCCATCGCGCTGAAGGACCACATCCCAGAAATACGTTCGAGCACTCATTAAAAAGTATCGAATGTCTGCCCGACAAGCTAGAGACATGTCGAACAACTATAGCCTCCCAGGGCCCGACACGTGAAAATCCTCCAGTTTGGGTAACTTCTGGCGATCAAGATTAAAGTAGGTCGGGACATCATAGTCCTCGTGGGCCCGGCTCGCGGCGCCCAGGTGCTTGCTGATCTCCTTCCTCAGATTGTTCTCGACTCGGACGAAGTCGTCTGGCCAGGTGCTGCCCAGGGTGCCCCCAGACCAAGGTGTGTTCCCCACGAGCGCCGAACATATCCACATCCACGCCCTCGCGGTCCAGACTCCTGGGCGAGGCCCCGTGGATGAGCCGCGGCATGGCTACGTTCCACGCGAGGCATCCGCGAGGAGGAGGAGGAGGAGGAGTAGGGGGAGGAGGAGGAGGAGGAGGAGGAGGGAGGGAGGGAGGAGGAGGAGGAGGAGAGGAGGAGGAGAAGGAGGAGGGAGGAGGAGGAAAAGGAGGTGGAGTTTGGGGAGGAGGAGGAGGAGGAGGAGGAGGAGGAGGAGGAGGAGGAGGAGGACGAGGACGAGGAGGAGGAGGAGGAGGAGGAGGAGGAGGAGGAGTTTGGAGAGGAGGAGGAGCTGGGGGAGGAGGAGTTTCTTGCTTTGCCCATGCGGGTAGAACATGGCAGAGCATGCCCATCGTAGCGCTCAGCAAAGCGCGGGCAACCAAGGGCACACGTGCACAAGGAGGAAGCAGGCACAAGCTGAATCCGTCCTCCGGCCTCCTATTATTGGCTAACCCCCAATAGCGCCGAAACGTCGTGCCTTAGGGGGGAAACCAACAAATAGGAAACAACGGGCAGGACCGCAGCAAAGGACCAGCAACCGCAACCCCGCAGGGTGAGGACGCCCCCCGGCCCCTTGGGGAGGAGGAGGAGGAGGAGGAGGAGGAGGAGGAGGAGGAGGAGGAGGAGGAGGAGGAGGAGGAGGAGGAGGAGGAGGAGGAGCGGTGGGGTCGCGGCCCAGGGGCACGGCCCGCGAGGCCGTGGAGGCAGGTATGCTCTCCGCCCGCGAGAGGCCCTCGCTCCCTGCGCCCCTTGGAGCCCGCGCGGTCCCCGGCGCCTCGTGAGGGGTGCCTCTGGAGGCCCTCGCGGGCCTCCCGAGGGGGCCGCAGGGCACGGTGGCGCGCAGAGCCGCGGACGCCCTGAGTCTGGGTGTTGCTAGAAGTACCCCTGGCCCAAGGAGCCCCCAGCTTTTCGCTCCACTTTGGAGCCCCTGGGGCCCTCTGGGACTCGTGAGGGGTGCTCTGGAGGCCGCTTGGGGTACCCCTAGAATCCTGGGGGCACCTTGGCCCAGGGGCACTTCTAGCAACACCCGACTGAGCTAGGAGCACCTGGGACGGCCCCCGATCTAGGGTCATCTGGTGCTGACGCAGGGTGGAGTGGTCCTTCACGGGAATCTTGCTCAGCCAGAGGGTCCGGTTCTCCTTGTCGGTGCGCCTGCGCCTGCTCTTCTTCGTGTGCTCCTGGTACCTGTGCGCGAAGTAGAAGGCGAGCACGCTCTTCACGCAGACCATCGAGAGCAGGGACAGCACCTCCAGCGACTTGTCGAGGTGTGTGGTCAGAGCCGGCTCAAAAAACAAGCAAGCGTAGGCGTCCACGCTTGCAGCGCCACTCGCGGCGGAGGCGCTCTCGGGGGGGGCGCCCTGGGCCAAATTCCAGCAGTCCCGCTCGCGCCCGACGTTCGCCGGCGCCAGGAACCTGAGGCCGCGACATCCGACGTCGTGATTCTTCCCCACCGTGGCTCGCCAGAAGTCTGGACCCTTTCCCTGGGACCCATTGCTAATCTCGACGTCTTTGACGGTCCTGGGACCCAGGTGGGCCCCCAGCGCTCGAAAACTGCCCAAACCCAACCGTCGGGAATCTTTCACGACGCGAGGATGTCAGGGGGGGGGGGCCCTCGCGAGACCACAAACCTGAACGGGCAAGGGCCGGGAAAGCGCCGCTCCATGAGGCGTGTGCCGCGAGTGCGCGCGCACGAGGGCCGCAGACACAAAGGGAGGGGGGGGACACCTGCGGTGCCGTCGTCGGGCCGGTCGAAACCGGGGACTTCCTGCAGAGATCGGGGAGGAAGGGCGGGGGAAGAAGAGGGCTTCGCGCTCCCTGTCTTCCGCCCGCGAATTCCCTGGTGCACCCCGGGCCGCCTGAGCCGAAGAAAGTCGGCGGTCCGGGACAAGCACGGCCAGCGCAGGCCCCGAGCAATAGGGTCTAGCGTCTAGCACAATCGATGCGCGGCAGATGCGTTGCAGGCCGTGTCGTGCGTTACGCGTACGATGCACGCTGTGTTGCAAGCTCTGTTGTGCGAGCTGAGTGGCACAAGATAGTGCAAGCTGTATGTAACAAGCTGCGTCATGCAAGATACGTGGTGCAAGCCTAGTGTGGTGCAAGCTATGGGTTACAAGCTGTAGGACGACATGCAAGATGCGACATGTAAATGCAAATGCATGTCATGGACTGCCCCCCAGCACCCACTGATCGTATTCTTCTCTTTTGACCGTGTTCTGCTCTCCTATTCCTCCCCGTTCGCTCCCTTACTTCATCCCCCTACTCCGACCCTCCTCCTTCTCGTCCGATTATCATGAAGCAGAAAGGCAAAGAGACTGCATAAAGACGGAGAAAGAGAGGGAGAGCGAGACAGAGAGAGAGAGAGAGAGAGAGACTCATGGAGCAGCGATCCCCCTCCTCTCCCGATCAGGCAGAGGGTCATACAGAGAGAGAGAGAGAGAGAGACTAGAGTGAGCAGCAACCCCTGCGGAATCACAATGTTTGCGAAGTAAGGGGGCGGCAAAACCTGCGATGCCACTGGGATGTTTGGGACTCCTGGTATGATAATTCCAGAGACCATATGATTGCATGTGGGTGTTAATGATATTGGGGATGTCTGGGGTTCAGAGCTTTGTAGGGCTGCAGCGTGGATTCTGTCTGAGGGTGTGGAATCCCAAAACACCACGCATCCAAATAAAATAACCCAGGGGCGTACCCAACCATGTTAAGCATGTGGCTAATCTACATCGGATCGGCCAATACAAAAAAACAATCATTGAATGATCCGCAATGCCCTTGAACGCTTCGCAACAAAACGTCGGGCCAGAGTCAGATGTTTCACATATGCAGCGACACTCTTAAGAGTCAGGTCGTTGGCAGGAGAGCGACCACGAGGGGGCGTGGAAACATGTGGAGGCGGGACAATTGGATGCATAATTCGTGAGAGTAGCAGCGCCTTGCGCTGTGTTCGCATTGCAGGACAGCGCTCTGCAAGGGTGCCGAACAGTCTAAGGATGCAAGGGTGCCCTTTGGAAGATTATCCGTCCTTATCCGTCCACGGGGTGACTATAAGTAAGGCTGGGATCACACCTGCCTGTGCCTCATGTGTTTAGCCCTGTGCTTGACCGCCGCCGGGCTTATATACCCGGCCGCGCATGCCTCATTGGACTGGTGGCGACAGTTTCACGCATCGCAGGCCCCCAGGGGACGGCGAGCTATAGTTATGATGTCCGTGAGACGTCACTCCGCTGGCCCTCCAAGGAGCCTACGAAAGTGGCGACAGTTTGGCAGATCGCGGCCCCCCAGGATACAGCGAGCTATAGTTGTGATGTGCGATAGAGGTCACTCCGCTGGCTCTCCCAGAAACCCATCGGAAACCCCAAGGACCAGCGAGGTCTCGTGGTGATCCGCGTAAGACGTACCTTCGCTGCGCCTCCCAGGAGCCCAAGAAAGTGGCGACAATTTCGCAGATCGCAACCCCCCCGGGGGACGGCGAGGTCTCGTGGTGATCCGCGTAAGACATCACTCCGCTGGCCCTCCCGGAGGCCCACGAAAATGGCGACAGTTTCGCAGATCGCAGCCCAACCCCCAAGGGGACAGTCAGGTCTCGTGGCGATCCGCCTAAGACATCACTCTGCTGGCCCTCTCAGGAACCTACGAAAGTGGCGACAATTTCCGGATCGCAGCCCGCCATGGGACGGCGAGGTCTCGTGGTGATCCGCATAAGACGTCACCCCGCTGGCCTTCCCAGAACCCCGCGAAAGTGGCGACGGTTTCGCAGATCGCAACCACCCAGGGGACGGCGAGGACTCGCGGTGATCCGCGCACGACGTCACCCTGCTGGCCCTCCCAGAAGCCCACGAAGGTGGCAACAAGTTCACAGATCGCACCCCCCAGGGGACGGCGAGGCCTTGTGGTGATCCGCGTAAGACATCACTCCGCTGGCCCTCCCAGAAGCCCACGAAAATGGCGACAGTTTCGCACATGGCAGCCCACCCCCCAAGAGGACAGCGAGGTCTCGTGGTGGTCCGCGTAAGACGTCACTCCGCTGGGCCTCCTGGGAACCCACGAAAGTGGCGACAATTTTTCAGACCGCAGCCCCCCAGGGGCCAGCGAGGTCTCGTGGCAATCTGCATAAGACGTACCTTCGCTGGCCTCCCAGGAGCCCACGAAAATGGCGACAGTTTCGCACATCGCAGCGCCCCCCAGGGGACGTCGAGGTCTCGTGGCGATCTGCGTAAGACGTACCTCCGCTGGGCCTCCAAGGAACCCACGAAAGTGGCGACAATTTCACAGATCGCAGCCCGCCAGGGGACGGCAGGTCTCGTGGTGATCCGCGGAAGACGTACCTCCGCTGGGCCTCCCAGGAGCCCACGAGAGTGGCGACAGTTTCGCAGATCGCAACCACCCAGGAGGACAGCGAGGTCTCGTGGTGGTCCGCGTAAGACGTCACTCCGCTGGGCCTCCCAGGAACCCACGAAAGTGGCGACAGTTTCGCACATCGCAGTGCCCCCCAGGGGACGTCGAGGTCTCGTGGTGATCTGCGTGAGACGCACCTCCGCTGAGCCTCCCAGGCGCCCACGAAAGTTGCGACAATTTCGCAGATCGCAGCCCCCCAGGGGACGGCGAGGTCTCGTGGTGATCTGCGTAAGACGCACCTCCGATAGGCCTCCCCGGAGCCCAAGAAAGTGGCGACAGATTTGCAGATCGCAGCCCCACGGGACGGCAAGGTCTCGTGGTGATCGGCGTAAGACGTACCTCCGCTGGGCCTCCCAGGAGCCCACGAAGATGGCGACAATTTCGCAGGTCGCAGCCCTCCAGGGGACAGCGAGGTCTCGTGGTGATCCGCGTAGGACGCACCTCCGCTGAGCCTCCCCGGCGCCCACGAAAGTGGCGGCACTTTCGCATATTGCAGCCCCCCAGGGGACGGCGAGGTCTCGAGGTGATCTGCGTAAGACGTACTTCCGCTGGGCTTCCCAGGATCCCACGAAAGCGGCGACAATTTCGCAGATCGCAGCCCCCCAGGGTAGGAGGAGAAAGAAGCGAGGAAGGAGGACGGGTGAGTTAGAGAGTGAGTGATGGAGACCACGGTGCTCTGTTCAAAACGAGAACCCAACCGAGGGAGGGTTGGGAATCACAGGGCTCCAGGGATTCTTACACTAGAAATCCCAAAAAGCCAAATGAAATCACAGGATGTGGCGCCTCCTCACTTCGCAGGTCATCTGATTTCACAGGGATCGCTGCTGTCACTCTCTCTCTCTCTCGCTCTTTCTCCCTCTGTTTCTCTGCATCCCTGCCTCTCTGCCTCATTGGCAGAGGAGGAGGAGAAGAAGGAGGAGGAGGAGGAGGAGGAGGAGGAGGAGAAGGAGAAGGAGGAGAAGGAGGAGGAGGAGGAGGAGGAGGAGGAGGAGGAGGAGGTGTGTGTGTGTGTGTTGTGTGTGTGTGAATTCTGTGTCTGTGTGTGTTGTGTGTGTCTGTGTGTGTGTGTGCGTGTTAGATGTGTGGAGTAGGTCATGCGTGGTGCAAGCTGAGGTCGCCCACGAGCTAGCTGCTGCAAACTGCGTGGCACAGCGCACCCCACGCGCGGGCGCCACGAGGCGCCCACGACCGGCCACCCGCCTGGCACCGGGCGCAGCGGCGACACCCCGCAGCGACGCACCCAGGCCACGTGGGCGCCCGCGGGGCGCCCACGAGCCGCCGCCGACCGAACGTCGGGCGGAGCCCCAGCGGTCCCACCCAGCGCCCGGGCCGCCCACGGGAGGAGGAGGAGGAGGAGGATCGAGGAGGAGGAGGGGGGAGGGGAGGAGAGGAGGAGGAGGAGGAGGAGGAGGAGGAGGAGGAGGAGGAGGAGGAGGAGGAGAGGAGGGGAGGAGGAGGAGGAGGAGGAGGAGGAGGAGGAGGGAGAGGAGGAGGAGGAGGAGGAGGAGGAGAGAGGAGGAGGAGGAGGAGGAGAGGGAGGAGCAGGAGGAGGAGGAGGAGGAGGAGGAGGAGGAGGAGGAGGAGGAGAGGAGGAGAGGAGGAAGAGAGGAAGAGGAGGAGGAGGAGGAGGAGGAGGAGGAGGAGAGGAGGAGGAGGGAGGGAGGAGGAGGAGGAGGGAGGAGGAGGAGAGAGGAGGAGGAGGAGGAGGAGGAGGAGAGGGGGAAGAGAGGAAGAGGAGGAGGAGGAGGAGGAGGAGGAGGAGGAGGAGGAGGAGGAGGCCACGAGGCGGCCACGAGCGGTCACCAACCGAGCTCCAGGCGAAACCTCGGCTGACCCGTCGAAGTCCTGTGGTAAAGCAAACAAAGGCCCATGAGTGCAGGCCCCGTGTGGAGAGAAAGAACGCCGGGGAAGCCTCGAAGAAGCCGTGGAGCCGCCAATTATGCAACGCAATGGCCGCGACACACTGCAGCATCGTGGCAAACTCGCCCAGACTGGCCTACGATGGCTCTAACTAGCCCGTTCGGGACACCTCGGCAGTACAATCCCTGACGGATTTCGAAACTGAGCTAAAATGGTGGTGGGTCTTGTCGCAGGCAGCTGGGTGCACCCTGTGCCCCATCCCCCTCCACACAACCTCCTAGATGGAGGGGGCAAGAGAAGTGAAAGGAGGGGAGGTAGGCAGGGTTGGAGGAAGGACTGGACTGGAGGTATATGAAACATTCCCGAGAACCACAAGTAGCAGCGGGCTCCCCAGATGCAGCTCACCCACGGGAAGGAAATCAGGCTGAGGAGGCAGAACAAGTTGCGGCAAGTCTTCAGAAACTCCAAATCCGCCGTCGTGCCGCGCAGCGCCGAGTGCAGTGACCACAGGCCCCCTGGAATGTCCACAGGCTCCCTGGAGTTCGCATTGCTACTTGTTTTGCAAATGCCCCCAAAGCTCCAAAGAGGCCCCCTAAGATGCCTCCGAAAAGGTCCAAGGATGCATCGAATAGGTCTCCTGTCCACGGCCTAGGCGCGTTGGTGGGTGGGGCCGAAAGCCATGACATCCACCGCCGTCTTCTGCCTACACAGGCAGGAGAGCCAAGAATCGAATCGATGAATCGAATCGGCGATCGAAATGAATCGGATCGGTGGAAATCGACAGCCAAGTCGGGAGGAGTCGAATCGGCGGAAATCGGCAGGGCAGCAAAGCCTAGTTGAGACATCGGAGCCCACATCGGACTCCGAAATCGGATCGAGTCGGAATCGGCAACGATCGAAAGCGAATCATCGAATCGGAAAAATCGGAACGAGCCCTGCACAGGAAGTGTTTGGTGTGCCGAATGGTTGAGCACTGCAGGCTCCTGTTGTGACGACCCCGGCGTTGGCTCCTGACACAGCGTGGAACGATCGGCGGCTTCTCCATCGCCACATCTTTCCATGTTGGCCTTAGGTCGGGCAAATGTCCTTCTACAAGGGGAGTTCGGACGAAAAGCGGAACCATGGTCCGAAAATATCCAAACATAGCGAAACAATCGTCCCCAGACCATGCTTTCACAATGCTTGCGCTCTCCTCCTGCCGAGGGACGTGCCCGACTTCATGTTGGCCGACTCTGTGCCACTGGCGGCGCCCACCCTGGAACGCTCGCGGCGGCGACGCCGCCGCGGCGAGACGACGCGAGCCTGCCGTACATTGGCGGCCATGCCGACGGGCTCCCAATCACGCCTCGCAGCAGCCCGCCGGCCACCCGGGGAGCCCCCGGGCGGCCAGCCCCTCTTCGGGCGGCGAGGGCCTCCGAGACGGCCAGGGTGGCCTCCAAGACGGTTCAGAAACGCCTCCACGACGGCCAATCTCATGGCTCCAAGAGGGCCCAGGACGCGCCCCGGGCGTCCAGACGTGGAGACAAGAGTCGTAAGGGCCCGAGACGGCTCAGAGCAGCCCAGGCGGCCGCCAAGCCACCCCAAGAGGGCTCCAAGAGATCGCCCACGAAGCCTCAGGACATGTCAGCCTTGTTGAATTTCCGCAGAGAGACAGTGCGGGTCAACGACAGAGGGGACGGGCTCAGGGCGGGGGAGGGGGCGACATCGACCTGGAGTCGGCGGTACATCGCCGATAACTGGCGACATGTCCCTGATAGCGGATCCGCACGTTCCTGGGCGGGGAAGGCCATTGAGCCTCTATCGGCGATGAACGGGCGATTGAGGGTCGATGCGTCCCCAACTGAGCCTATGCCCCTTTAGGGTTGCCCCCTGGTTTTCGGGTCATAGCTCGGCTGTCCCGCAACCAGTCGGGGGATGAGTCTGGCACCGCCGGAAAGCTCTCGGCGAAGCGCAGCTGATGCCGACCGCCCCAGGGCCCGACAACCTGCGCTAATTCTGGACAGCCGTCCGAATCCCAGCGGAACACCTGGGACGGATTCGAGAACCCTCGATGCCAAACTCGTGCTGGTGCCCCATGGGAGACCCGTGGGGCGGCGGTGTTCCGCCGCAGGCGCCTCCGATAGTGCTCCACCACTTTGGCGGGGGCGGCCGCCGTGGCCGCCTTGTCGGAGGGCACCAGCGAGACAACCACACCGGCCCTGCCCAGGCCGAGGCATGAGCCTGGCATGAGCCTGGCCAGGATCGGCGTCGGAGTACTTCTGGCTCGAGAGGGCACCGACTACAACAATGATTCACCCCAGCGCTGACTTCCCCGGCGAACCTGCGAAGCACACGCGGAATGCTCCGCAGATCTGCGAACAGTCAACACACTTGCTGGCAGACCCGACGAGGAGATCAAGTCTGGGGCACATCAGTTCTGCAGCCGACCCCCTGCTCGAAGGCTGAGCCTGCCCAGGATCGGTGCAGGTGTCTGATCGGTGCCCTCCTGCCTTGGGCGCGCCATGCGGGTCGCCCGCTGGCGCGGCCGCCGCGCCCGCCCGGCGCCTGCAGCAGCAGCAGCAGCAGCAGCACCGGGCGGGCTCGTCCGCCCTGCAGCACCAGCTCACCGGGGCCCCCTCAAGCCAGGGCACTTTCGGGAGGCCCCAAGCTCGGGAGTTGCTGAGGGCGCTCCTGTCCCAAGGTGCCTTCAGCTTTTCGCTGCATTTTGGAGCCCCTGGGGCCCTTTGGGCCTCGTGAACGGTGCTCTGGAGGCTGTGTGAGCCTTCTTGGAAATCCTGGGGACACCTCGGGCCAGGGGCATTCCTAGCACCGCCCAGCAAGCGGTGTGGCGACCTTCGCGGACCGTGGAGTGCCCTGAGACATCCGAGTCTAGCATCGAGGATCGAGGCTCGAGGCTCGAGAACGTTGGGCGGTGTTGGGCGAATCGCGCGCGACTTGGAATGAATTTGCCCTGGGGAGAGGGCCGAAAGGTCCAGCAGGGGACACTGCCGCAACCAACATCGAGCAGCGGGACCTCCAGACGGCGCCAAGACAAGGAAGTCCACGAGGGCCTCCGACCCCATGTACAAGGTCCTGGCGGGGCTGTGCGCACCTTCGTGCTTTCGCCCCCAGACAAAACGACCCCCCCGCGTGGTGCGTCAGTGGGATGCGGGGCCGCACGGTTTCTAGGGCGACCGGGGCCTCTGGGGTCTCAAGACCGTGTGGTGACGGGACACACGGTGAGGTCCCTTGGGGGGTCGAGGTCACCGCGCAGTCCGTCACCACAAGGTCTTGGGACCCCACGAGCATTGCTGAAAAGGACTTCTACAACTCCACCTGGAGAGGGCGGAGAATGGAGGACGTCTCGGTCAGCGGCTGCAGCTGTCTCGGGCGCGCCAGGGTCCGGGTTTCACCAGGTCCCAGTCTATGAAGGGGCCCAGGGAGACGCACAAGAAATATACACAAATCCCAAGACTCCCAATAAATTTCTATAATTTCTGGACTTTCGTCTTCCCCTACTTGTCCCAGATTTTCCGGTACATATGTATATATACACACAAATTCCTCGGAATCGACGACCGTTTATTTGTGTCTGTGTCGCTTTCTCCCTCCTGAGTTGAAGGGGGCCCCGAGCTCAGCCAGTAGTGGCTGGCCCGGCTCAGGAACAGCGCCAGCAGTATCAGCAGCGGTCCCCAGGCGCGCACGTCCGCGAGCGTGTTCCACGCGGGCTCCCCCATCCTCGGGGAAGCAAGAAACTGTCCATCGCTCGGACGTCCATTCCCCCGCGCATTCCCTGTGCTTGCGAGGATGCTTTTTTGAACAGGTTACCCAGGATGCAGCTCGATGCTCCTCGCCATGAAACAATGCACACGCCAGAGCGATGCCAAGGCATCTCCCTGGCGAAATACCCAACCTTATGCAGTTGTGAGTTCCGAGTGGTGGGCACCGCTTTCTGTGAAGCTTCCTATGACTTCCTGTGAATCCACGAAGAATGTGAGTAGTGTGCCCAATTGGACGGAGAACCGCATGTATATCGTGCCACTGGGGCCTTCGGTGGAGCTCCCTATGGGGCCACGAAACGTGTGGATGGTGTGCCCACATGAGCTGAGGACCGCAGATGGACCCCGCCACTGGGGCCTTCAATGGAGCTCCCTTTTGGGCCACGAAACGTGTAAGGGGTGTCTCCAAATGGGTTGGGATCCGCACGTGGACCCTGCCCCTGGTGCCTTCGGTGGAGCTCCCAATGGGACCACGAAGCGTACGAGGGGTGTCCACATGGGCGGGGAACCGCAGTGGACCCTGCCACTGGGGTCTACTAGGTCCTTCGGTGGAGCTCCCTAAAAGGCCACGAGCCGTGTAAGGGATGTGCGGAAACGGGGCGGTGAACTGCATGCGGACCCTGTCACTGGGGCCTTCGGTGGAGCTCCCTATGGGGCCACGAAACGTGTGAGGGGTGTGCCGAAGCAGAGACATTCGGAGGGCAGAGGCAAGGATTGGAGGAGGGAGGAGGGGGAGGAGGAATGAACGAAGGAGGGAAGGAAGGAGCGGGAATTGTCTCTTCAAACAGAGAACCCAACTCGACAAGATGGTTGGAGAAACCTAATCAACATAAGTTTTTGGAGCTCCGCGCGGATTTCTTGGATCGGTGCTGGACCCCGCCAAGGGCGGCGCTGGAGGCGCTGCCAGGGAGGGGCCCAACGCCGATCCAAGAAATCAGCGCGGACCTCCGAAGGTCTCTGCCTTCGCCGTTGCTTCGCGGCCGGAGGGTTTGAACTGGTCGGGACCCCAGAAACTCGGCCAAGAGGAAGGAGGAGGCCAAATCCGCTCTAAATCGTGCCTGGACCCCTCCCAGGGTCATGGTGTGTTTTTGCGCCCCGGATCCGATTCTGACGGTCCCTGGGCCCGACAGCGATCCCCAGCGGCCGAAACATGCAAACAAAAACGATTCGAACCCAGAACCTTGAACATGCTTCCTTCCTGCTGGTCGGAACCCGTGCTGGGCCACCTCAGACCCCCAGCTGGCTCCAGGCTGCTTGCTCGTTTTCGAGTCCTCCAGGGCAGGATCCCCAGGAAGAACAGCAGCAGGAGCAGCACCCGCAGCGCAAAGTCCACGTGCTCCAGGCGCGGGCGCCCCTCCGCGGCCGCACCCGCCCTGTCGCTGGCGGGGGCGCCGGCCATCCTGGCTGCGCCAGCGCCGCCACGGCGCGGCGGGCGGGGTCCGCAAGCTCGAACACAGCAGGCCCAGGAAGTCGCAGCGGTGACGCGTCGTCTGAGCAGCGCGCCGAAACAGGAGCGCCGACCGCACGTGGGTCGCGGGGCCGCCTCTGGGACACGGAGCGCGCTAATGGTCCGCACCAGCTGATGATGTCCGTCAATGATGGGAGCTCGCAGGTTTGAACCGTGCCCGCTTCCGATGTCGGCTGGTCCACGCTCCCAGCACAGTCGCCACATGTGCATCGCCCTGATCAGTGATGAATGGGCGATGTTAAGCCGATGCTTCTAAGAGTCCTGGAGAACGCATGAAAGAGTTGTTTCGGAAATCAGCGCGGATTTCTTGGGTTGCCGGTGATCCCCTTCACCCGCCTCTTCTCGGGGGGCGGCGCCAAAGCGCTGCCCAGGGGCTTGGGAGGGGGGCCACCGCCAACCCAAGGGACCTCCGAAAGTTCACAGTGTGCGGCTCCTTGATCTTCTGGTTCCCCATCTCGCCTGACCCTCTTTCCGACTGCTCGTCTCCCGCTCGCCATTCTCTTTCTGATTATTCCTGATCTTCCCGGCATGTAAAAGAATGATTGTGGTGGAAACGGGTCCTGGACCCCAGACCTCTCCATGCGACAAATACTTCAATCCGAGGGTAACTGTGCTTGTTGACGGTCCCAGCGCACGAGGGCCACGGAGGCCGAGACGTTTCCGCCACGTCCGGGCCCGGCCGAACCCCCGCCCAGGACCTGCCCCAGGGGTGCGGCTTGGTCAGACTGTCGCGGGGGACCCAGCCGTGGCAGCGAGAACCCCCAGGAACCGCCCCAGGCCAGGAGCTGCAGAACTGACGAAGACGACGAGCAGGGCTCGACCCCTCGAAACTCGCTGCATGGCCCGCTTGTCTTCGTGGTGGCAACGCCTTTCTGTCTGGAGGCGCGGGGCGAGCGCGGGGAATGAGCGAAGGCCGACAGGGGATTTGCAATAAAAGGACCCCTAACTCTTTGGGAGGGGACCGAAGTTAGGAAGGCCAGACACATTAGGACCCGGTGAGGCTACGGCTTCATCGTGTTATTAGGGTTCGGGATTTCTCTATCCTCGACGTGCAGGGGGAGGAGACCTGACCCGCAGAGGGGGCGAACGACGACCTGGAATCCACGATGCGTCGCCGATGGACTGGCGGCCCCTGGCCTCCCCGCATCCCGCCGCATCGGCGCGGGGAAGCACGGGCTCCACATCCAGCCGCATCGTCGACGCATCGGCGATGCGGCGCGAGCCTCCGACCCCGTCTACTCGGACCCCCTCCAGGAAGCCCAGAACCACGACGGGAAGTGTGGTGCCTCCTCTCCTTCCCTCCAGGAGCCCCCGCCGGGCCCCGACACAGCCAAACACCCCTCGGGAGGAAGAGCCGGATCTCGGCGGCGGCCGACAGGGCGAAGCAGGAAGGAGGAGGCCTTCTCGGAAGGCGGCGGGACTTCTCGGGAGCCCTCCGGCCTCCTGAAAGGGTTGTTGTTGCGTCTTCGGGGACGTCTTCGAAAACTTCTGAGAAGGCCGGCGGACTTCCGAGCCTTCTGAGAAGGCCCGCCCCTTCTCGCTTCCCCCCGGGCTCGCCGCCGATGATCCTTGGAAGAGGTCCAGACCATCGGGAAGCCACGCGCAGCCAAAAGATCATGACGTCGGACGCCTGGGAGGGGCCCCCCCAATGAGGCAACCGCATGTGTGAACCCTACCCCTGCAGGTCAGATTCCTGCAAACGGGCTGGGGCTCAGGCCTTGAAAACATGCTCCCAAACATGCGACGTCCTGAATTTTTCAGGACGGCGTCCCTGGCAATCCCGACCCTCTCCCTGGGCCCGGGTTCTCGTCCTGCGTCCTTTTGTTTGCCGGTCCCGAGGCCCGGCGAGGGCCCCCCGGGGCCGAAAATGGCCAAGAACCTCCCGTCCTGAACTTTCTTACGACGCGATCACGTCGTGAACTCCTGCAGCCTAGGCAAATCGGATCGAATCGAAACATGCTTCCTGCATCGGCAAATAATCGAAATCGAATCGGATCGGCTGCGCCAGGATGCACACCAACGCCAGACAATCAAGGCCGTATAGGACCGTTGGAACATCGGAGTCGATTCGGATCGGGCCGGCCGAAATCGATATCGAATCAGATCGATCGGATCGAAATGGACCCTGTATGAGGGCCGATGCTTCTTCCCCCGAGCCCCCCCCCCTACACAGTCGACCCGTATAATAAGGATGCAAGGCCTTGGAAGGCCGTTTCGAAGCTTTTCGAGCGGGGCGCGGCCAGCGACAGTGGCCAAGGATTGGCCAGGAGGCAAGGATGCAAGGGGTACCCTTCAGAAGGCTGCCCTCACTTACTCTGCGGGTTGACTGTAGGCGCCCTCCGATGGGGGGAGGCCGCACCACCAGCGCGTGGAGCGACGCGCGCCGCGCGCAGCTCGAGCTCCTCGTCCTCGCCCCGGGCGGGGTCTCTCGCCGCTGCCGCTGCTGCTCGCATGCTCGCATGCTCGCCGCCGCCAGCAGGGCTCGCAGAGGGACCCAGGACCAGAGGAACAACACGCTGCATACGTTGACGGACGAACAGCACACACACACCCATGCCTATAGGGGTGGTCGGAGAGGACCATGGATGCGTGGTGTCGGATGGGGGTCCCCGCTCGAACGGGAGCGCGCCCAAAGGTTCGACAGCCCGCACCCATACCCATAGCCAGTCCTCCCCCCAATGACCCCCCCTACGGGTATGGGTGTGTGTTGTTCGTTTGTCGTAATTACTTGGATCGTCATTGAGGCCCCCTCCCCCGGCGCGCGAAGCGCGCCAGGGGCGGCGCCGCCAGGAACCTCCAGCGTGGTCCGAGAAATCCGAACGGCCCTCCGAAGGCTTGTGTTTATGCTGGTGCTTGTTCCTCGAAGGCGGAGAGCGTAATGGTTGGGACGCTACCGACCAGGAGCGGCTGCAGCGGAAGCATCTGGGCCCCTGCGCACTTCAAGCCTGATCAGGGGCTGAACTTAACGGTGTTCGTCGTTTTAGTTTTGTTGTTCGTTCTGCCTCGTGTTGCCTTCCCTTCGCCTCGAATGCAAACCAAAACGAAAAACATAACGGCCTGCGAGATGGCCAAAGCACTGTTTGGGTCCAGCCCTGGCCTGATCTCCTGAACATCAGGAGGGCGCGCTCGACGAGCCGATTATGCTCAGGATGGGGCTCTGCCGGAGGTAGGAGTACTAAGGCAGGACTGCGGATGCCGCAGTGACTCACGCTCTGCCGTCGGTAGGAAACTAATATCTCCCGCGAGCCCCATCCGAAGCATACGCTGACATCGGGCCTCGCGGGGACACCTGGGCCCGTGCGATCTCAGATGACCCCCTGGACCACCCCTGGGCCCCCGCGGGAGAGGCCCCATGGAGCCCCCGCGAGGCCCTCACAAGGCCGCTAGGCCCCTCCTCCTCCTCCTCCTCCTCCTCCTCCTCCTCCTGCTCCTCCCCCCCACCACCACCACAACCACCATCATCATCATCAGCATCATCATCAATATAATCATCATCGTCGTCGCCATTCTCATTATCAAGGCCATCACCATCACCATTATAATCACCATCATCATCATCATCATCATCATCATCATCATCATCATCATCATCATCATCATCATCATCATCATCATCACCATCACCATCACCATCATCACCATCACCATCATCATCATCATCACCATCATCACCATCATCATCATCATCATCATCATCATCATCATCATCACATCATCATCATCATCATCATCATCATCATCATCATCATCATCATCATCATCATCATCACATCATCATCATCATCATCATCATCATCATCATCATCATCATTATCATCATCATCCTCATCATCATCCTCATCATCATCATCATCATCATAATCATCATCATCATCATCATCATCATCCTCATCCTCACCCTCACCCTCATCCTCATCCTCATCCTCATCCTCATCATCATCATCCTCCTCCTCCTCCTCCTCCTCATCATCATCATCATCTCATCATCATCTTCATAAGCATCATACTCATCATCATCAGCATCATCATCGTCATCATCATCAGCATAATCGTCATCATCATCCTCAGCACCAACATCATCTTCATCATTATCAGCATCATCACCGTCATCCGCCTGAGCGACGGCATCATCATTTGTTTCATCGTCATCAGCATCGTCATCGGTATCACCATCATAATTAGCATCAGCAACACCATTATCAATATCGTCGGCGTCATCAGTATCATCGTCGTAGAGTTCGCCACCGCCATCAATCAACATCATCAAGATCAGCGTCATCATAATCGTCTGCGTTCGTCGGAATCAGCATCATCACCACCATAATCAACATCATCAGCATCAACATTTACATCATCAGCAGCATCATCACTGTGATAGGCAACATTAGCATCCACATCAACATTAGTTCAATCCTCCCCCATGTAGTACCGACCACCCTCCTCTGCCTCCTCCTCCTCCTCCTCATCCGCATCATCATTACTAATGTTCTTGACATGGAAATGGAACTAGCAATATTGTTATCATCACCACCTCCATCATCATCATCATCATCATCATCATCATCATCATCATCATCATTATCATCATTATCATCATCATCATCATCATCATCCTCGTCGAAATCATCAGCCTCTTCATCATCCTCACCATCGCCCTCGTCATCAGCGTCCTCCTTCTCATCATCATGATCACAACCATCACCACCACCATCATCACCATCGCCAACACCATCGCCATCATCATCATCATCACATCATCATCATCATCATCATCATCATCATCATCATCACCCTTTCAACCACCAGCACCACAATCGCCACCGTCATCATCATCCTCATACGTATCAACACCGTGGTCATCATCAGCAGCATCATCACCATCATCATCATCAGCAGCATCATCACCAACATAATCGACATCGTGATGATCTTCAGCAGCATCATCACCACCACCATCATCATCATCAGCAATATCATCATCATCAGCATTATCATCACTGGTATCAGCATAAACATCATCAGCAGCAACATAATCATCATCAAAATCAACACCACCCTCATAATCAGCATAAGCATCAGCAGCATCATCATGATCAACAGCATCATCATCATCATCATCATCATCATCATCATCATCATCATCATCATCATCATCATCATCATCATCATCCACCTCGTCCTACTCCAGCGTCTCCTTCTCCTCCCCGCCGCTCCCCTCCTTCTAGGCCCCCCTCCCTCTTTTCTATTCGGGTCGATATCTGACGGCCCCAGCGTCTTGGACGAGCCCCGAAGAGCACGAAAACGTCAGAAACCCTCTGGCCACATTTCCTCCATGAATGAACCCTTCCGTCATGCCGACTCCCCCGCCTCCTGGGCCCTCACCCCCTCCTGCCCTAGTCTCGATGCCCGACCAGCCACACCCGCGGGAACTGCGGCCCTTGACCCACTGGCGGAACCCGTCGTGCCGATAGTCCCTCAAGAGGGGCGTCGCAGCCGATGGCACCCCCGTGGGGCGGAAGGAATCCCTCCCGGGGGGAGGGGGACCTCAGACCTCCCCGTGGCGGCTGGTCTGCACTACGACTCCTCTCGATAGTAGCAGAGCGAGTGGGCACCACCACCACCGCCACCACCATGTATGTGCCATGGCCTGCAATGCAGCCGGCGGTGAGGACAGCCTGCTCCAAGCATGGCAGAGGAGCGCCCAGACGTGGCGAGACGCAGCGCGCAGCCTCTGCTCGCAGAGTGCAGTGTGGGGCTCTCGCTTCTCAGGCTGTGCGCTGCTGCCGACGCACCTCTGACGTGCAGGGCGCGCTCTCCCCCACCAGCACGAGGACCCCGGCGTGGCGCTGGTGGTGTGGCCTCCCCGTGCCCGCGCCGCCCCGCCCGAGCCATCTCCCGCCCCTGGCCGGCCCGGGGAGGCGGCGTGGACCTCCCCCATCGGGTCGCACGGGGCGGCCAGCGAGCCTGCTCACGTGGCTCGTTGCCCTGGCGCCCCCCTCCCAGGGACGGAGGCGCCAGCGCACCGAGGACACGTGCCTGCGCCCGGGCCGAAAACAACTGCGTGCAGAAGATTCCGCACCCCGCATCCCGCGTCAGAATCTTGGCTTGCCCCCCTCTTTCGTCTGACCCGAGCCTCGTGTGGGGTCCGAGCAGGTCCGACTATACCTCCCTGCAGTACTAGGTTCTGCTCCGTAGCTCATGAAACACAAGTTTCAGGTGCTAGCACTGTGGCAAGAAAATCCAAGCCAAAAGGGCGTGGCCTTTCCGCGAAGCCTCATTTAGGGCAATGGCCTCCGCTCCGAAAATTGAACAAGGCGTGTCTATGGAAACCCCTGCTGCCACGAACGGCTCCTGCGCTTGGATGCCCCACCTGCCGATGATCCACGTGGATGCTGCGCACCACCCGTCTCGAAGGCCGCCGCCGGTCTGCACAGCCATGTTCGCGATCTCGAGCGGCATAGTCGCACGAAACCGTCCCTCCCTCCCTCCCTCTGCCCCTCTGCCTCCCTCCCGAAGCGGCGCCCGGGCCCCTCCCAGCCGCAGCACTGCCCACCAGCTCCGCGAGCCGAGACTGCCTGCCTCCCGCCGCCTCTCGCCTCCCCCTGCTCCCCCCGTTCCCCTGGCGCCCATCCCCCCCTGTCTCGGGGGCTGCTAGAGATACCCCAGGCCCGAGGTGCCTCCAGCTCCAGCTGGGAGCCCCTGGGGGCCCTCGGGGCCTCGTGAGAAGCGCCCTGGAGGCCGCGGGGGCCTCCTTGGAAATCCTGGGGGCACCTTGGGCCAAGGCCACCTGTAACAACACCCGACTGTCGCCCGACCAGAGAAAACATCGGACCCGGGACGACATCGGGGATCTCCGAGATCTGGCAGTGGCGCCGCGGCCCTTCTGGAACGCGCTCTGCGCTCTGGAAAGATGGATCCTGGGCCCAGCCCCGCCCAATACAGTGGAGGCCAGTCCACAAGAAACCTTCCGCAAGAAACCCAACCCTGAGACCCCAGGGCGTCCGTTCATGTTTGGCGCGGGAAGGTCACGCCTTCCTTTGCAAAACCCATCGAACCCCAGGAGACCGTCAGAGCGCCCTGGAGGCGAGCAGGGTGTTTCTTGGCGCGGGCCTCCACTGTATCACCCCCCCCCCTCTTGGCGGCGCCCATCAAGGGGCGGACGCGAGGGGGGTGGGCCTCTGAGAGGGCGGATGGGGCGTCTTGCGCTGAACGGCCCCCCCCCCCCAGGGAGCCCCACAGGAGGCCAAACTGGCTGCGCCCAGGTGCGCCCCCGCCGCCCAGTTCGGCACACCCCTCGCACGCTTCGTCGCCCCATGGGGATCTCCACCGAAGGCCCCAGTGGGCTGCCTCCACATGCGCACCCGACGCCCATGACAGCACACCCTTCGCAGCTTCGGAGCTTCCCAGCCACACAGGGAGCTGCATCGAACGAAGGCCACAGTGGCCGCGCCCAGATGCGTCCCCGCCGCCCATTTCGGCACACCCATCACACGCTCCGAGTATCGTTTAACCAACCCCTATCCCCATGGGCGTGACCTGGGTCCCACTGACCGATTCACCCGATGGAGATACAGGCCGTTTCCTAGGGGTTTCGAGAGGCATATCCCCAACTGGTGTGGTGGGATGGTGGGGGTCGATATGAGGATGAAGATAAGGAGATGGATCGGTAAAGAGATACTGAGCTCCGTGGACCCATACGAAGCTGCAACTTTTCGCCTCCCTTGCCTCGCATACTCGCAGCTGCACGTGCTTGGGCCCTTCGCCTGGATTGTTGGAATGGCCCAAGGGCCCCTGAGGGCCTGCGGCGACCGCAAGTGGAAGAGCAACAATAATAAGAACCAAAAAGCCCTCTGTTGTTGTCTCACGAAGCGACGGGGTCTGGAGGCGGCCAGAGGGTCTGAACTGGTTGGGGCCCCACAACAGCCGTCAGGAGGGGGGTGGACCAAAATCCGCTCCAAATCAAACCCTGGACCCCTCCCCGGGGTCCTCCCGGGGTCCGGTTTCACCCTGGATCGGTTTCTGACGTCCCCGGGGCTCGAAACCGGCCCCCGGGGAGGCCGAACAGAAATTTAAAAAACCGTCTCGAACCCAAAACCTCGAACCTCGCCCCCCTCCCTGCTCGCCGGAACCAATGCTGGGCCACCCCCAAACTCGGGGGCGCGCAAACTTGGATTACCGATCCATGGATTTGGCGCGCGGTCGCCAAATCCATCGATCCGGGGAAGTGCCCTCCCCAAAATGCGGCTGGTGTCGCCTCGCTCGGCGGCGGAAATCCGCGTTTTCCCATGGAAACGGGACCCGTCGCTAATCCACGCCCCCTTGATCCATGTTTGCGATCGCCTGAATTAATTTACAGAGATGATGATGGTGCCCTGGCATGGGCGGCACACCTCGCGGGCGTCGCGCACCTAGCTGCTGTCTGCATTCGTTTCCGATGATGGTCAATGGCGGCCCATGCCCATGCTGAGACTCGAAGGCTGCTTCTGTGGTGGGAGGGCGGGCAGGAGTGAGCGAGGCAGCCGTCCTTCGGGGGGGTAGTTTGATCAATGCTCATCAACGATGTACACCCCCTCCCCCATGCGACCGGCGACAAACCCGGGCCAATGCCGCCCCCTTGCCACCACGCCTTGCAGCAAACAAAACAAAAAAGCATTGCTCTAAAACCTGGATCACGCGCGAACGCCACGCCGCCCCGCGATGACTTTGCATAGGTTTTGATCCAGGACGGCGGGGGTGCCGGCACATTGCCTGCTGCGTGCAATACCAACACCCCCTTCCCACCATGCCATGCAGCAAACAAAACAAAATGGCAGCCCCTGCCCGTGCAGACGGCCCCAAGGGTCTGGGGCTCTCCCCCGGCTCGGCCTCGCCCGCTCGCCGCCCGTCAGTCCAGCTTGCTGCTCTGCAGCCGCAGGGCCTCGACCGCGGCGGAGGCCTCGTGTCGGGCGGGCCCGGGGGGACGCGGGCGAATGCTGGGGCGTTCCGCCGATGCGTCCTGCTCCCTCCCCTCGTCCTCGTCGCTCCGCCTCCTCCTCCTCCTCCGCCTCCTCCTCCTCATCCTCCCCCTCCTCCACCTCCTCCTCCCCCTCCTCATCCTCCTCCTCCTCCTCGCCCTCCCCCTCCCGCTCGCTCCCCCTCCTCCTCCTCCTCCTTTTCCTCTCCCCCTACCCCTTCTCCTTCTCCTCCTCCTCCTCATCATCCATTCCTTCTCCTCATAGATAACTCCCCCCTGTCGCACCCCGAGGCCAGTCTTTAGGGCGGGCTGGGCGTTTCGCATGAGACTTCCTCACCAGTCATGACTCTGAAGCTTAAAAAGTGACAACCGTTTCACAGATGGAGGGCGGGTCGCTTTCAAAATGTGGATCTCGCCGTAGCGCCGCGCACATTCGTCTTAAACATTTGCAAGAGTTTCACGGATTGAGGGCGGGCCGTTTTCAAAATGCGGCTCTTGCCTTAGCGCCGCGCACATTCGTTTTAACAAATTGTAAGAGCTTCACGGATTGAGGGCGGGTCGCATTCAAAATGTGGCTCTCGCCTTAGCGCCGAGCCCATTCGTTTTAACCATCTGCAAGAGTTTCACGGATTCCCATGATCAACGCAGCAGAAATGGTGTTTTGGAAAGAATCAAGATTTTATGCGGGCGCAACAGTTATGTTGATTTGCTGTGTTGCAGTCCCACAAATTGCGTTCTGGCACGACTCTGGATCGTCAAGACGCAGCAGTCAGGTTGATACGTGGTGTTGAAATCCCGAGAACAATGTTTTGGCACGCCTCAGGATCTTCAAGCTGTTGTCTTGCAACGAGGCAGCTCTCTCAATGGATATCAACCGTTGTAGGGGCCTATGAAGAGGGAGCTTGGAGGGAGGGTTACTTCCAACATCGTTGATGATTATTGGGTTCCCACTGGTCCTCCTCCTCCTCCTCCACCTCGCCCTCCCCCTCCTCCCCCTCCCCCCCTCCTCCTTCTCCTCCTCTCCCCCTACCCCTTTATCCTCCTCCTCCTCATCCTTATCTTGCTTCTTCTCCTCATCCTCCTCCTCCTCCTCTCTCCTCTGTAGTCTCTATCTTTTGCGAATGCAGGATGATCGACACTGTGCAGCGACCGAGGTGTTCACGATTCGACCGTCGGGAATGGGAGCATAGTGCTCTCACGCGCCCTGCACGCGCTCTCCCTCGTTGACAATCCCACCGGCCCTCTGGGCGGAGGTGGTTTAAAGTGCTTCCTCTTACCCCGTTCTCCCCCTTCGGTGTCGGGTCATCATTGCCCCATCTGACTGGCGGCGAACGCGGAAAGCCCCCCACCATCCTGACAAAACAACAATACAACATGCACGCGAATCTCGATCCTGCGCGGGCACCAAGCGATCACGCTGCACCGCATCGGACAGGGAAGAAAAAGGGGATGCCCGCGCTGCGCGGCGCAGGCCCATCCCCCACGCGAAAACGCAATATTGAATACACGCTCTGGCAAGGATCATGCGCGTTAAGCCCTGGACCCCTCCCCGGGGTCCTCCCAGGGTCCGGTTTCACCTCGGATCGGTTTCTGACGTCCCTGGGGCTCGAAAACGGCCCCCGGGGAGGCCGAACAGAAATTTAAAAAACCGTCTCGAACCCAAAACCTCGAACCTCGCCCCCCTCCCTACTCGCCGGAACCAGTGCTGGGCCACCCCAGACCCCCAGACTCGGGGGCGCGCAAACTTGGATTACCGATCCATGGATTTGGCGCGCGGTTGCCAAATCCATGGATCGGGGAAGGCGCCCTCCCCATCGAAACGGGACCCGTCGCTAATCCACGCCCCCTTGATCCATGTTTGCGATCGCCTGGATCATTTGACAGAGATGATGATGGTGCCCTGGCACGGGCGGCGCACCTCGCGGGCGTCGCGCACCCAGCTGCTGTCTGCATTCGTTTCCGATGATGGTCGATGGCGGCCCCTGCCCATGCTGAGACTCGAGTGCTGCTTCTGTGGTGGGAGGGCGGGCAGGAGTGAGCGAGGCGGCCGTCCTTCGGGGGGGTAGTTTGATCACTGCTCATCAACGATGTACACCCCCTCCCCCATGCGACCGGCGACAAACCCGGGCCAATGCCGCCCCCTTGCCACCATGCCTTGCAGCAAACAACACAAAACAACATTGCTCTAAAACCTGGATCATGCGCGAACGCCCCGCCGCCCCGCGATGACTTTGCATTGGTTGTTGACAAGGACGGCGGGGGTGCCGGCATATTGCCTGCTGCGCGCAATACAAACATCCCCCACCGAATATCCCTTGTAAAAAAAACACTAGAAAGTGAGCTTTCCAAGAAAATCTGGATCTGGATCGTGCGCGGACGCCCCGCGATCGCCTTGCATTGGTTCTGACAAGGACGGCGGGGGGGACCAGCACGATGCCTGCTCGCAGCAGGCCCACCATCCCTTTCAACATAAGAAATCACTTTACCAGGGACGGCGGAAGAAGGCGGCATACTACCTGCTTCGCAGGCACACCATCCTTGTCGAAAACAGGCAAGAACAGATCGCGGGTGCACACCCACACACAGCACTCAATCCTCGTCAACCCACCCACACTTTGGATGGGCTCTTGACAAGGACGGTGAGCGGGTCGTCAGATTGCCAGATTGCCCAATGTGGCGCACCTGCGTGGCGCACCTGGCATGTGCGGCGCACCTCGCGGGCTCCGCGCACCTGACTGGCGCTTACACTGGTTCCCGATGGTTGTCGATGGCGACCCCTGTATATGTTGAGACTCGGGTGCTACACATGAAATGGGAGGGCGGGTTGCTGCCGCCCCAGCCCGCTCATGTTGGAATTCTTCCGCCTCTGAGCGCCTCATCCTCCCCTTCCGCCCGCGGCCCCTTTGTCCTCCTTCCGCTCTTGCACGCTGGACAATTACTCCAGATTTCGTAATAAAAGGGAGGGGGTCTGGACCCTCCAAGACAAGCCATTTCAGACCTCCCCCCTGGGAGAACCCTCCAAAACATCGTCCCCAGACCCCCCCAGGCCCTCCAAGATAGCCTGGAAGAGACCCCCCCCGAAATGAGACCCCCCTCCCTTTATTACAACATCTGGAGTAGCTTAGTCGTGCCCCTGCTTCGCTCTGTCGCTGGAGCGGATTGCCCCGCCTCGCCGCCGACGAGAAAGTAGTGGGAGGGCGGGTGGGAAAGAGCGAGACAACTTGCGGCGTCCTGGCCGGGACGAACGCGCCACAAAACCAGGCCAACGACGCCCCCCCCCTCGTCCCTGCCAGAAGCCAGACACACTGCACATTGCGGCAGAATGTGTACCCTGCGCGGGTGCCCCGTTAGATCTTCGAGATAAGTTCTCGCAAAGATGGCGGGGGTGCCATCACGTTGTCCGCTCTGTATAAGCCCACCATCCCCGTCAACGCACAATGCAAAAATTGCTTGGCGAGAGATCCGAGCATATGCAGTTGTGAATATCGCAGTTGCGAATAGCACCTTCGGTGGAGCTCCGCATGGGGCCACGGAACGACTGACGGGTGTGCCCGAACGGGGTGTCGCCCACATGTGGGCGGTGCCAGTGGGGCCTTAGGTGGAGCTCCGCATGGGGCCACGAATCGCGTGAGGGGTGTGCCCGAACGGGGTGTCGCCCACATGCGGGCGGTGCCAATGAGGCCTTAGGTGGAGCTCCGCATGGGGTCACGAATCGCGAGAAAAATGTGCCGAAATGGGTGGGGCGGACGCATGGGAACGTGGCCACTGGGGCTTTAGGTGGAGCTCCCCATGGGGACACGAACCGTGTGAGGGGTGTGCCGACATGGGTGGCGCGAACGCACGGGCACGTGGCCATTGGGGCCTTAGGTGGAGCTCCGCATGGGGCCACGAACCGTGTCAGGAGTGTGCCGAAATGGGTGATGCGGACGCATGGGAACGTCGCCATTGGGGCCTTAGGTGGAGCTCCCTGTGAGGCCACGAACCGTGTGAGGGGTGTGCCGAAAAAGGGTGGCGCGGACGCATGGGGACACCGCCATTGGTGCCTTCGGTTGAACTCCCCATGGGGCCACGAAACAACTGAGGGGTATGCCGAAACGGGTGGCGGGGACGCATGGGGACACCGCCATTGGTGCCTTCGGTGGAACTAACTTCCTGTGGGGCCACGAACCGTGTGAGGGGTGTGCCGAAATGGGTAGCGGGGGCGCATGCGAACACCGCCATTGGTGCCTTCGGTGGAAAACCGTGTGAGGGGTACCGAAACGGGTAGCGGGGGCGCATGCGAACACCGCCACAAGGGCCTTAGGTGGAACTCCCTATGTGGCAACGAAACGTGTAAAAAGTGCCGAAATAGGTCGCGCGGACGCACGGGAACGTCGCCACTGGGGCCGTAACTGGAACTCAACATGGGGCTACGAACCGTGTGAGGGGTGTGCCGAAACGAATGGCTCGGACGCATGCGAACGTCGCAACTGGGGCCGTACATGGAACCCCTATGGGGCAACGAACCGTGTGAAGGGTGTGCAAACATGGGTGGCGCGGACGCATGGGAACGTCGTCATGAAAGCCTTAAGCGACGCTCTCCATGGGGCCACGAACCGTGTGAGGGGTATGCCGAAATGAGTGTCAAAGATGGTGAAGATGGCGGTGATGATGATGACGATGATGGTGATGATGACGATGATGGTGATCATGACGATGATGCTGCTGATGATGATGATGATGATGATGATGATGATGGTGGTGATGATACTGATGGTGATGATGGCGATGCTGATGCTGATGCTGACGATATGCTGATTATGATGGTGATGATGACGATGAATGTGATCGAGACGACAATGATGATGCGCTGATGGTGATGCTGATGATGCTGCTGCTGATGATGATGATGATGATGGGCGGATGGAGGAGGGGGAGGCGGAAGGAGGAGTGAATGAGGAACGCGGGGCGCTGTCTCTTCAAAACGGGGGCCCAACACCACAATATGGTTGGGAAATATACTTTGCGATAAAGTGGACCATGGTCGTTCGCCGCGTGATCACTCTGCATGGTTTTTGTTACAGGGACGGCGGGGGGGTTCAACGGGCATAGCCCCCCCCTGCGTTTTTGACGTTTTCTCACACTCACGTCTTCCTCCTCGTTGCCCTCCTCTTCATTGTCATCTTTTTTTTTTGTTCTCTCTCTCTCTCTCTCTCTCCCTTTTTTATATATATATATATATATATATATATATATATATATATATATATATATGTGTGTACCTCCCCTCTCCTCCTACTCCACCTCTGTTTCGCTCCTCTGTTCCCTTCCTCTTCTCCAATTCCCTTCCCTTCGCTGCCTCCTCCTTCTCCTCCTCCCCCTCCTCCTTCTCACACCTTCTCCCTCTACTCCTCCTCCTCCTCCTCCTTCTCCTCCTCCTCCTCCTCCTCCTCCGTGTCTGCATCCTTCTGCGGGGGGACCACCGGTTCTGCTTCGAGAGCGACATGCACATACATTCCTTCTGTTGGCGGTGAGAAGCAATGAAAAACAGCGGGGACCACACACAAACGAGAAACTGAAGCGCCGGAGGCTGAAACTGTAGGAACACAAATCCATGGACAACCGTCCGAAGGGAAACGTCCGAACGGGAGGGTGAGGTGGGGATGGGGGGGCGCATTCTCCGTGGAATAGTTGGTAGTGTGTTCTTTTGCTTGTTGTTCAAATGGCGTTCCCTGTCAGCCTCCAGCACTTCAGTATCTTTGTTTTTCCTCACATGCTTCGTGGGGTTATGGTTTTCTTCCTTGCCGCGCCGCACCCGCGTCTCCTCACACCTCCCCTCCTCTCTCTTTTTTCCCCCCCTCACTCTCACAC